TGAAGGCTTTATGGTTATCTTTGCCAACAACCACTTTTTTTTTTTTAATTTTTGACTACAAATCATTAATAAATCATATGGCATCCGATGAATAATAATTAAATAAAAGATGTTTAAGAAATTACTATAAAAAATTTAAAAAGAAAAAAGAGTGTGATAAGTGATGAAAAGAATGGAATGGGTTATCTTCCACGTTACATTTTTTCTTTTTCAATACAAAACAATGAAACATGATGACGGTGCGGGGACCATAACGGCTAGCACCGGAAAGTATTCCACTCCAGAGCCAACGGTCATGAGTTTCATCAACGGCATATTTTGTTTAATTATTATTAATTTAAAAAAAGAGGGAATATTCTCCTTCGCTTCCCTCATAATCATAAGGCGGCCATGAGTTTTATAAATGAGCTTATTATTTTGCATGTAATATTTCGAGCGAGGTAAAAATACTTTTATTTTTATTATAGTAGTATGTAAAATACGCAAGTGAAAAAATAATTTTCTTGTCTCATAAAAAAAGAGCCGTAGTTTTTTATAAGATAAAATAGGAATATTAAGCTTGTGGATTTGTTAAAATTATTTTTAAAAATGATTTATTATAAAGCTTTAGATTCATATAAAAATCAAATCATTCATTGGGAACAAAAATAAATCAATAATCCTATTAATATGTTAGAAGTACGCAAGGCTACGGGCCTCAATCATGAATCATATACTTTCATAAAATTAAAATTATCATAAAAATTCGAAGGATATTATGTATAGCAGATAATATAGATTAATTTAAAATGTTATTATAATAACATCCTTAGTTTATTCATTTCTTAACAAATAATATAAATAATTTATAAATTATCACAATAATAAATTATGAAAATTTACAAATATTGTTCTTAAAGTATTTTTTAATTTTTTTTCTCAGAAATTACATAGATTTCTATTTAAAAAAAAACACTGCTCCGTTTAATTAGTTTTAAAACTTGAAGATGAAAAAGAAGGTAAGGGGAACAAATTTAGCATGAAAACGGTTAAGAAAAGACTTTTAAATTTGTGTGGTTTGGTTTAATAATAATACATATGCATGTTTGATACAAAAAAATGTTAGGAAAATCATGAAAGCCTTGACTAACACATAAATGAAAACTTTCTTTTTTTCTCCCTTATTTCAAATCTAAGTTTGACATGGAATCCGTGTGTAACTCTATATGACCGCGCCATGAAGATGAGGTCATAAGGGCCAACTCCGACCCAGACTTCACGTAGTTGTCATTAAAATTTTCAAAAACGTATCAACATAAAATACTCTGTGGTTAATTTTCAACCTAAAAACTTATCTGTAATTGAAACAACTGGATACTACAAAACATGCGTGGAAAAATATTGTCATTATTCATTGACGGTCACTTTCATCTCTATCTATATAGAATTTTTAATTTTTATTTTACACAGCACACCAAATCCCAAAGAAGATGATGTGCTTGGTAAGGCGTTTGAGGGAATAAAAAGTAATTTATAAGCGTGATAAGTCAATTTACAAATTTAAAAACTGTTTGTTGCATTTTTTAGTTAATCTGACTTATAAATTAAAACTATTTTTTAAAGTACGAATGTAGAAGCATATAAAATTTACTTATGACTTATGCAAAGGTAGTTTTTTAGAATTAAAAGATATTTTTGCCTTTATATTTATATTGTTCTTATGTTTTTCTCTCTATATATTTCTTGTGCTTCCTAATCAGTTTTTAATTAATTATTTTTAATATTCTCTTGAGTAAAAATAATTTTTAACAGTTTTTATAATATTTCTAATTTTGAATACTATTTTTTATTTTATATTTACATAAATTATGTGCAGTGTATTATCCAATTAATCATGTAATATTATTTAGTTCAAAAATTTTTATATTACTATAATTTCTAATTTAAATATATTTTATTCATTAAATATAACTTCTTTCTATTATAGTAATTTAAAATTATTATCTTTTATAAATTCATATTTTTAATTATTTTTTATTATTTAATAAAAGTCATACTAATTTTAGTCATTTTACAAACTAAACTTACTTATTCAATTATAATTCAAATAATTTTTTTACTTTACAAACTAATTTTTATAAAAGTTAATCTAAACATAAATCACATTAAAAATTTAACTTTTACCCAATCTCATTTTTCTAAAAATCAAATTGAAAATAAATTATTATTTTTTCAAATGGATTTGATATAAGTAACAGGAAGAATCACACTATAGACCCAAAGAAACAATTTTATGGCAAGGAAGTCATAGAATCCGAAATTATTCTTCCCGTCTTAAATGTAAAACTTATTCTGTAATATAATTTATATTATAAAATGGGTTGCGTATAATGTCAAAGCAGTATTTTGCAAGGTGAAAGGAGTAATTAAAAATTAAATTTCATTACCCAAAAACTAAAAAGCCCTAATTTTTTTGGGGGGGGGTTAAAAAAGGCTCTCACCGCCATTGCCATTGTCATTGCCGAAACTTAGTGTGCTTCAATTGCAGCATATCAGAATTACAACATTAAGGGGTTGTTTGGAACACCCCATAATTACTTCTCAGAAGCACTTTTTCGTAAATCGAGACAAACTCCTCCACATATTTACTTTGTATACCGTAAAAGTACTTTTGAAACCATGATTTTATTCTTACCCCAACACTCCCTAATAGTCGAACTATCGCCAGTTGCCATCGGAGCTTCAATGCTGGCGAAGTTAGTAAATTCTCTGTGCAGTTTTGGGGTCCTTGTGCCCAAGACTCCTTGGTTCCCCCACAAGAGTTTTTGTCATTAAGCCACTAATAACTATTACTAGATGTTTAATATAGTATCTACTTAATTAATTTGAATTGATTAAAAATTAATTAAATTAGTTATTATAAAAAATGTATATTATTTTTTTTAAAGTACCTTCTTAAATCATTTATATTAAGACTAACCCTTAATACAAGTATCCTAAATATGTGTAATCAATAGGAATAGTTTAGAAAAATAATAATAAATATAAGAGATAAGGTGAATATCAAAGTTTAATATATAAGACCAAATTTAACTCTCAATTAACTTGATACGAAGTAGTATTAATGGTGTTGAAAAAAATCTATTAATTAAGTGGTGTGAAATAATATATTATAATAAACTTGTTTATAAGAAAAAAAGAGGGTCATTTATCAATATGCGGGCATGGGATTCTCCCAATATCTGTATAACAGATGAAAAGTATTTTAGTAACTGGATTACAAAAATTTCAGGCAAAAAAAATTGGATTACAAAATTTAATTTTTGATTAGTTTTCTAGGGGATGTTTGGAAGACACAAGAATCAATTAAATTTTTTTTTTTATGCAAGTTGAGATAAAACTACTCTCACATCTTTATTTAAATACTGTAAAATTATTTTTAAAAAATTAATCCAAATACCCTTTAATCATATTGTTTTTTTAATGGCAACTTTAACTCGATTTTATCCCTAACTAATAATTGCCAAATGCCAAATAAGCCAAATACGACAAAGGCTATGAGCCATTCTGCCCTTTTCCAACCTTACAGACACACACCGTGGCCTTGCTCATTCCCAGCGAAGCCGACATGCTCTCTCTCTGTCTGGCCCCAGACCCCAATCCCCTTCTTTTGTTCCTTTTCCCAAATTCTCCCTCCTCTTCCCTCCTTTTTACGCTTCACTCCTTCCACCATGTTGGCTCCTTCTTCATTATGATAATATCATCCATAGTATTAGTAACATATTTGTGACATTTCTTTCTTAGGAAATTGCTCTGTAGTTTCAGGTTTATTAATTGATTTACAAGTTAACCGAAGCTAAATCTTTTATCAAAGTGTAAAGTGTTACCGTGCATGTGTAATGCCTTATTTGGTACACAATGCTTTCTAATATTAGGAAGCTGCAATGAATGTGATTATTATGTTTTTACGTGAAACATGAAAAAATGGTAGTTTGAAATAAAAATATAAATATGAAATTGCTACAGGAAAAGTAGGCTCAAGGTGCAAATTTGCTTTAAAAATTTCCACTCAAAAGTGTTGGGCACTCAAAAGTTTTTTTTAGATATAAATTTATCTTAAAAATTTAAATCGTAATAATTTTGTCTCTTATTATTGAAAAACTAACGTTAATTATTAAAATAATGACATTTATTGTTAATATTTTTAACGGTAAGAGGTAAAATTGTTATAATTTAAAGTTTTAAGATAATATTGAACTCAAAAATTTTTTTGATGTCCAACGCTTGAGTACAATTTTTAAGACAAATTTACATTTTAACCCTAAAAATATAACTACATCTATAAAATTATAAATTTTCAACTAATAAAATAGTGTTACATTTTGCATTCTATTAACTTGTGAATGTTTGTTGTTATAACAATGAACGGTATTTTTTTTACTGAGGATTAAAAAAATATGATATTAAATTTTAAATATATGACCTTAATTATAATATCTAAAATAATAAATTTCAATCAATGTATTGAATTGAGTTATTACAAAATAACATATCTTTACTTTTTTTCTGGTGAAAAAACATATCTTTACTTAAAAGTGATGACAACAATATATGGAATCTCTTTTAATTTTATTGATATTTTGTAAAACATGAATGCATTTTTTTATAAAAAATGTCTTTCTTGAACATAAATATAAGAGGGTAATGTAAAACGGAATGGCATTGTGAATCTAGTCCGACCGCCAGGCGCCTGGGTCCTGGGGGTAATACGGTCATTACGATGAACTTACACGCACGCCCACGTTACAAACCGAAAAAGCGACCCAGCGAAGTGACGAGGCTACCCTCCCAGAGGAGAATGAATGAACGGAAGGCAAGGGCGTTTAGGTAATATAACAGTAGAGGAATGGATGACGACAGATAAGTAAGATGATAAAATAAGAAAAAGAAGGAACGCGAGCGTTCCACGCAAAAGCACAGAAAGGAGGGCAAAAAGAGAAGAGAGAGAAAACACAGGACCGTTTTGAGTTCGAGAGACGCCATCGGACTTGAAATCCACAATTCGCCGGAATTTGGAAACTGGTTTTGCTTCCGAACTCTAGGGTTCTTGTCTGAAGCCACAAGAAACTTGCAGAATTTTCGTCCGCGGGCAGGCTACTTTAGTTTGAGATTCTCATCGTTTGCTTTATGAAGTTGAATTCGGAACCTGCGATTCTGGGTTTCGAAGAGCTGTGGGAGTTCAATTTGGAATCTAGAGGGTTGGGTTTTTTTGGGAGATTTTTGTTGTGATGTTTACGCCTCAGAAGTTGTGGTCTCTAACACCCAAGAGGGGGACATGGTCGGGTCCCAATTCTGGTGATGGAACTGCTTCTAAGGGGAAGAGTGTTGCTTTCCTTGAAGCCAAGACGCCGGCTTCTGGTTCTGTTCGTGAAAATGGGAGCGACGTATTAGTGGGATCCGGTGGAGCAGCCATGGATCGGGAAGTTTTGGTTGAGAGAATTTCCAGTCTTGAAAAGGAGGTTAGTCAAGCAGTGGCATTCATACCTATGAAGCACGGGCAAATTGAAAAAAAAAATAAAAAGCATTGTTTCTTATTAGAAGCAGTAACACTTAGAATTGCACTTAAAATTTTGTCGTGTGGCGTGTCTGTGATATGCCCTTTGAATGTCCTTGCCCTTTGGGTTCCATTAAGTATGTGGCTTGGATGTTTTTTATGCTCCATGCTCGACTTCTTTAGCTTCCATTACCTCCTAATTTTAATTGTCTTTGGTACGAGGAAATTCTAAATTTTTGGGGAAGGAAGAGAGTACTGAAGCTGCTTTTCTTTTTGGGTAGCTTAAAGCTTACTAGCTTTCCGTTTTGGATTTGAGGTTTTTTGGTCATAAAATTCCTTCATTGAAGCTAATTTACTCATCCTGGATAAACCGCGAATTGCGCAAAAGAACTGTTACTGTTTTTTCTCCCCAGGTCTTTTAATTGCAGATACAAATAGTGAACTTCTGTATTGGCGGCTTGCTTATGTTGGTTGTAGAACATTGCTTGGTTATGTTAGTCTATGGTAATCTAGCTATACAAACCTGCTGGTATTAAATCAGTTCATGGAAAGATTTTCTTCCTTCCGTTTTTATTTGCAAGGAAAGTCAATTTCTGGAAGAGAAACCTTTTTGGGTAATTGATACATGAGATAGCCTCTTCATTTCTTGTTTTGTGGTAGATCAGCAAAAGTAACCATTTTATCATATATTGTTTGCTAGCTGTGGGTAATTATGGCTGTCTTTCTACTCTTGCAGACTTAATTTGTGGTGGTTTCTGAGATTTGGGTAACTTTGAAGCATGAATATTCGTGGCATTTTTCAATCTTAAAGATGGAATATTATTCTTAAAATATGCTTCTTAAATTAGCTCAGTGCTATTTGAAATAAGAGTGGTGAGTTTGAGGGACTGGGCATTAGTCCAAAAGTTCATTCATCGTGGGATGTTTCAATATTCTCTTTCAGGATTGCTTTTTTTTTTTGGGGGGGGGGGGTTTTCTTTCTGTTTGATGTTCTGTTTGGGTTTGAATAATTTAACCTGATTATGTTTTTTTGGACCAGCTTTATGATTATCAATTCAATATGGGTCTTCTGCTGATTGAAAAGAAAGAGTGGACCACCAAATTGAAAGAGCTAAGCCAGGATTTACAGGAAGTGAGGGATGCTCTTGAACAAGAAAAGTCGGCTCATTTAATTGCCATATCTGAAGCTGAGAAACGAGAAGATAATCTTAGGAAGGCCTTGGGTGTAGAGAAAGAGTGTGTACTTGATGTAAGATCTCTTAATGCATACTTGCACTGTTTGCATGATCTTTTCTCTCTCTCTTTGTTTTTTTTGTGCTGATGAAATATTTACCTCATGGATGATCTATACTTCATTGTACTTTTATCTTTGTTGTTGAAGTATATCTGTTGCTTGATAATGTTTGTCAATTTATCCACCAACAGCTTGAGAAATCTTTACGAGAAATGCGTGCTGAACATGGAGAAATCAAATTCATTGCGGACTCAAAGTTGGCTGAGGCAAATGCTTTGGTAGCTAGCATTGAAGATAAATCTTTGGAAGTGGAGGCCAGGTTACGTGCTGCTGATGCCAAGCATGCAGAAATGAACAGGAAGAGTTTGGAGATGGATAGAAAATCAAAAGACTTGGAGGCCCAAGAATCTGCACTTAGAAGAGAGCGCTTATCATTTATTGCAGAGTATTCCCTATGCTATTCTACTACTACTTACTACTACTACTACTACTACTACTACTACTACTACTAATATTATGTTAAAAACTCACATTATTTTGATTTATGACAGGAAAGAATTGCATGAGAGTACTATATCTAAGCAGAGGGAGGACTTACGAGAATGGGAAAAGAAACTGCAGGAAGGAGAGGAAAGGCTAGCCAAGAGTCAAAGAATTCTCAATGAAAGGGAGCAGAGGTCAAATGAGACTGACAGAATATTGAGGCAGAAAGAGAAGGAACTTGAAGACACACAGAAGAATATTGAAGCATCCAATGTGGCTTTGAGAAGCAAAGAAGATGACATAAACAGCAGGCTTGCAAATATAAATCTAAAAGAGAAGGCAAATTTTTTGGTTTTTGAACTATTGTTGGGCATTACTTAATTTATTCTTGTATCACGTATTTTGTTATTATGTGTTGAATGTCAATATCCTTTTGATGCAGGAGTATGATGCAATGAGAATGAACTTGGACCTGAAAGAGAAGGAGCTATCTGTGTGGGAAGAAAAGCTCAACGATAGAGAAAAAGTATGTTAATTGACTTACTCTTTGTTAATGGCAAATTTTAGAGAAGGATGGTGATGGACCTATATAAATTGCTGAATCATCTGTGTAGCCATTTTGAATCTTTTGGTCATTCAAAAGTTAGCAATGGTTAGGTTCTCAACTCTTTCGTGTAATTGAAATTGAAATGGTTCCTAAATTGGACTAATTTTGCCAAATTGTTAAATGAAAGAAGATTTTAGTTTCTGGGATCCTAATCAGTTATTCTTGAATTGTATTTGGTATCCCTACTGCTAATATTTTTTTCCCCTTATATATTGATTTGTATATCTTGTACTTTTGCAGGTTGAGATTCAAAAGCTTCTTGAGGAACACAATGCTACGCTGGATTTGAAAAAGCGAGAGTTTGATGTGGAATTGGACGAAAAAAGAAAATCCTTTGAAGCTGGATTACAGAATAGAATGATGGAACTGGATAAGAAAGAAGTTGAAATCAGCCACATGGAGGAGAAAGTTGCAAAGCGTGAACAAGCATTGGAAAAGAAAACAGAGAAGCTTAGGGAAAAAGAGAAAGAGTATGAATTGAAATTGAAAGGTTTGAAGGAAAGGGAGAAGTCTATTAAGTCGGATGAGAAGAATTTGGAGAAAGAGAAAGGGCAGCTAGAGTGTGAGAGGGAGAGATTGCTCAGTATGAAGACTGAAGTTGAGAAGATACGGGCTGGCAATGAAGAAGAGCTTCAAAGGATACATGAAGAGACCAATCGTCTTAAAGTGACTGAGGAGGAAAGGTCAGATTATGGGCGCTTGCAGTCAGAATTAAAACAGGAAATTGATCAGTACAGGCTTCAGAAAGAACTGCTTCTGAAAGAAGCTGATGATTTGAGGCAGCAAAAGGAGACTTTTGAAAGAGATTGGGATGAGCTGGACCTGAAGAAAGCAGACATAGAGAAGGAATTGAAAATTTTGACTAAACAAAAAGGAAGAAATATCTAAACTGCAACAAATTGAAGAAGAAAAGTTGAAGAATGAGAAGCAGGCAACTGATGAATACATACAAAGGGAGTTGGAAGCTCTTAAGTTGGCCAAAGAGTCATTTGCTATTCAAATGGAGACGGAGAAGTCTGACTTGGCTGAAAAATCCCGAAGTGAGAGGAACCAAATGCTTCTGGATTTTGAGCTGCGGAAAAAAGAACTTGAAGCTGATATGCAGAATCAGTTAGAGCAGAAAGAAAACGTTTTTCTAGAGAGGAAGAAATTATTTGAGGAAGAAAGGGAGCGGGAATTAAGTAATATTAACTATTTGAGGGAAGTAGCCCATAGAGAGATGGAGGAAATGAAACTTCAAAGGAGTAAAGTAGAAAAGGAAAAACAAGAAGCTGCTGAGAATAAAAAGCATATGGAAAAGCAGCAGTTGGAAATGCGAGAGGACATAGATGTGCTTGTAGAACTTAACAGCAAGCTGAAAAGTCAGCGGGAGCAATTTGTAGAGGAGAGACGACGTTTTGTTAATTTTGTTGAGAAACTCAGGAGTTGCCTGAATTGTGGTGAAATGGTCTGTGAGTTTGTGTTGTCTGATTTACGATCCTTAGCTGAAATTGAAAACATAGAGGTGCCTTCACTTCCAAAATTGGCTGATGACATTGTGCAAGGTAGTCCTGATGGAAATCTGGTCTCACAACAAAATACTGGGGTGGCCGAGTCAAAATCTCCTATCTCTGGCGGAACAATATCATGGCTGCGTAAATGCACCTCTAAGATATTCAAAATCTCCCCAGTTGGAAAGATCGAGTCTGAAGATGCCCATCCTTCAAAAGAGGTGGCAACATTGTCTGTTGAGAAAGGTAGAATTGAGGAATCATCAGGGGGTATTCCTGGACCTGACAATGAAGAAGAGTTATCATTTGCCATTGTAAGTGATTCTTTTGGTGTTCAGAAGACCCATCCTCACAATGACCTTGCAGAGGCTGAAGCTGAAAAAGATTTATCCGTTGACAATCAGAGCAATATTGACAGCAAGGCACCAGAGGCTCCAGAAGACTCCCAGCTTTCTGATTCAAAGGGTGGTCAGCAGAAAGTTCGCAAAAGAGGAAGGCCCAGAATAAAGCGTAATAAATCTGTGATAGCTGTTGTCAAAGATGCTAAGAACATACTTGGAGAATCCTTGAATGATGACGAGACTGAATATCCAAACGGAACTGCTGAGGATTCTGCCACTATGAATAATGAGGCACAAAGACCATCCAGTAGAAGGCCGACAAATTTGAGGAAACGAAACCATGTTCAAACATCTCAAATGACGGGGAGTAAAACTGCTGGTGATGTCAATGAGGGACATTCTGATAGTGAAGTACAAGGGCAACCCAAAAGGAGGAGGCAGAAGGCTGCTCCTCCTGCACGTGAGCCAAGATATAATTTGAGACGGCCCAAAGTGTAAGTACTTTATTCTCATTCGTATATGCAGATATGGATTATTTTCTTGTAACTAATCTAACCTCATCTTGCTCATTTGGAAAAGAAAAGAGGAACCAATGCACGTTATAATTTTGATGTTCATACTTCGTAGAAGTGAACAAGTTCTCCTGTAGGTCATTTTGCTATGCTGGAGCTTACTAATGTAATTTGTACATACTGTCACGTAGGATTTCTTAACATTCGGATTCTATGCTTGGTCTGGATTTATTTCTTGATCTTTAGCTATATCATCTGCAATATTCTTTTTTAAAATTTTTTATTTTATTGGACCAATAGTTTTCTTTTAATTTTTAAAATTGATGATAGCTGTAAAATTTACTGGTCTTTTCTGTCTGTTGACGTGGCTGTACACTGATTGGTATAGTGGAGCAGCAGCCACATCTAGCCGAGCCTTGTCTGGAGGTGGTAGCAAAGAAAGTGAGGGAGAGGTTGATCGTGTAAAAGAAACAGAAGATGCAATTTTTCACTCTAAAACTTCTTCAGCCTCAATGGGTGTTACTAATGAGAATAGTGGGCGCATACTACTTGTGCAGGTGAGCATAATACGTGGCGTTTTATGTTGCATCTTGTTTCCCTTTTATTTTGTTTGTTGTAATTTTTTGTTTCGGGGTCTTTTATGTTTGACTTGCATTTTTAAGGCATTACTGTCATTTAAACCATTAGAAGTTTGGGATTGAGAATAAGCGCTAAATCTTGTGAGGTTTTGGTTGTACTGCAATGTGTTCCAGTCCGAGAAAATTGTGGAGATCCAGGACACCTATGGCGAAACGACACGGAATGAAGCCACCAATACAGCCTTGAGTGAGGAGGTGAATGGGACACCAGATGATGCGGGGGATCATGATGCCCAGTATAGAAGCGAAGAATCCCATGGCGAAGATGCTGGTGGAGCAGACAATGAAGAAGATGATGGAGACATTGAACATCCTGGTCAAGCTTCTATAGGGAAGAAGCTCTGGAATTTTTTCACAACGTAATTCTTTGCTCCTTCTTCCCTTATAATGCAGCTACGGCTTAGGGTCTTGACCTCATCAACCCTTTAGGCATAATGTCATTGGTAGTCTGATGGGTAGTAGCTTGTATTAACTGTTAAGAAGCATAAATGTAAGCTGTAACCACGTAAGTACCTAGGACTCGGGGGGTGATTGGATTTTTTTTTTTTTTGGGTGCTCATTTTATTTGGGGTCAAGGATATTGAGGCCCTGATGTACTTTTGACAGTCTTAGGCATTGAATAGTAGTAGTTTTCAATGTTAGAGTGGAAATTCAGCTCCCTCCTCCATTGAAAAATTGATTGTTGTATCAAAATGTTTAGAATATTTTCTCTGAAATGTGAGTTGATGTTAAGTGCTTTACCGTTAGTTGGCCTGCGTCCCTTGAAAAGTTAGAAGAGAAAATTAAGAGGGGGGGGGGGTGAAAAAAGTACTGTCTCAGGTTCTGTGGAGTCCTCTAATGAAGACATACCATGTTAAGATTCGTAGGCTTATGTCAATTGTACCTAATTAAGGGGACTAAATTTGGAAGTTTGTGCATTAAATGGGAGTATCTTAATGAGGAAAACGCTTGGAGGGCAAATTGCGAAAGAAGTAAGGAAAATTTTTAAGAGGCCAAATTATTAATTAGAAAGAGGAAATAAGGAAAGAATTTGGACTTGGAGTATAAAGTTGAGGAAACGAAGAGTACAAGCTGTGACTAGGGCATGGAAAGCCTAGAAACTCGAGGATTTCTCTATAAATGGCCACAAAGGGATTCCAAGAAGGGGATTGGACTTGGGAGGGCTAGAGGCCAAGATTAAAGGTTTGCACATCTTGAAATCGTTAATTTTTCTTGTATATTTGGGTTTTCATGAGCTAACACTGGCTTTTCTTTTAGTTATGCGTGGTTGAATTCTCTTTTCTAAAATTAGTTTTTATTGAACCATTGACTAGTTATTTGTCATTTACTTTAATTTGATTGTAGTAATATTCTTATGTGTTTGCGTTTTTTTTTCCCCTCAATTTGTTTTAAAAGTTGCAATAAGGTCCCACATAAGATAATTAAATAAAAAAACTCTTTTAAAATCATCAAATTAATCTGAAGCCCCAAAGGACCTTATTGTAAAAGATATTTATTTAATTATTAAATTATCCTTATTTTTTAATAAACCATATACCTATACTTTCTTTCAATTTAATTTGGTACCTATGTGTCCCTTTAATTAAACATTTAATTTTATTTTAGCAACATTAGCTCTTATAACTTTGTTCTATTGATATTAGTCTCTACATAAGGATTAATGATGTTAATAGAGCAAAATTAAAGATTTAGTTAAGAATACACATAGGTAAATTGAAAATTGAAAAAAAGTATAAGTATCCAATATGGTTTTTCCTTTTTTTAATTAACAACTGAAAGTACAGTCGTTAACGACTTAATGTATAATGATTAATAATTATCACAGTAAATATTGATAACTTATGTATTATATTTTTAATGATTTCAAGATATTTTTTTTGTATTTAATTCTTTCAGTGAGACGTTATTATAATTTTTTCTTTGTTTTATAACCGCACCTTTCATACCATAGTTAACTGTATTCGATGTTTAGATGTTCTGGTTGTACTTAGAAATGAGGATTATAGAATAAGCCATGCGATAAAGCAACGTGAGATTGTTTTGCACGAGAACAATTTGTTTTTTTTTTCCAATAAATAAACGAGAACAATTTGTTAACTAAGAAGCATGCTGGTAAATTAAAAAAAAAAATCTCACATACAAACCTACTAATTACTGATTTGAAAAACATATGCAGTTAATATTTAGGGTTAAGTTGTATTCAGTACCAAAAAGTATTTTATCCGGTTTGTCTAGCAACTTAAAGTATTTTATGATGCGTCCAACACTTTAAAACATTTCTTGATGAAATTTTATCCTAAAAGTATTAATTTTTTCAGAACAATTGTGCTTTTAAAGTGTTACTTCCAGTCAGGTTTGTCTAGTAATCTAAAGTATTTTATGATGCGTGCTACACTTTAAAATATGTCGCGATGAAATTTTGTTTTTAAAGTATTAATTTTTTTGGAAGCAATTGTGCTTTTAAAGTACTGTTTTCCATCCTTAATATAAAAGAGAATTTGATATTCAATTCTGTCCTAAATATAAGACTCAATTCACATTTTTTAATCATATTTATCTATTTTTTAAAGTAGTCCTTATAGTAATTACATATGATCAAGGTTCCATCAAATGGTAGTTTTAACTAATACATATGATTAGCAACGGTATCTTAGAAAAAACAAAACTTATTTATTATAAAAAATTAACTTGATTAATTTTCTTAATCTCTCCAAATTAATCAACTAGGTCTTATATTAAGGACTTAAAATGGTATTATTTTATAAGCAATTTTAACCTCATCATTAATTTCTCAAAAGATATGTTAAATGAATATATGTCAAGCACTATAAAGTATTTTTTTAGAGTGTTGGACATGTGTGAAAAAAATTTTAAGGTGCCGTGAACTATAAAAATACAGGGGTATTGGATGTAGATGACAAAAATACTTTAGAGTGTTGGACATCATAATTTTTTAGGATGCTAAACTTATCTAACAAAATACTTTTAAATACTGGACGCATCTTAATCCAAATATTTATATTGAATCTTGACTAACGTACAAAAATTATTAATTGCACGAAAGAAAGGAGGGTGCATAATTTTTAAAAAGTATGAGACAACGAATTCTAGGTTCTCTTATATGATATTATTACTCATTTTGCACCTTTTAATTTCAAAAGTTTCAATATTCTTTTTGTTTGGTTCAAAATTTATTTCGTTTGCACTTCGTAGCAAGTTTTTATCATTGGACGACAACCCATATTTTAACAATGTTATTTATACAAGCCGTGGAATTGTATTTACTTTTGGGGCAAACAACATAACTGGACCGTATCACAATTTACAATTCATGCAGTTGACCCTTGGAAAGAAAAGCCAATGGCAATAATGATGATAAGAATAACGACAACATGTATAAAACATCGAGCATTTTGTACTGCTAGTTGACAAAATTTTCAGCTCCATGAGAGCCCCTCTCTGTACAAATTTTTGTATGAAAGCCATATGCAGTCCCCTAGCCAACTTCAGTGTATCCTATTTAATATATATACTTTGGTGGTTTACTGTGACCAGCGACCTTCACTGCTATTCTCTCGCTGATGATCCTAAAACTGCATCTTGACGCCGAGATTTTCGTTGCTGTGCTAACCATTCTGCATATTTCTTCATGTCACTGCAGCATTAACATAAACTTATTAAGTAATGACTAAATATGCAAGTAAAACTTGGATTCTTGTGGACCTAAGTCCAGGTGGAGAAAAATAGAGGTTTGAGGGGCCCACTTGACACATGGGGCCTACCAGAATTTTTCTCTTTTTTACTCTTCGCCGGGTCTTTTCCTCCATAGTGGCAGATTAATCCTTCGTTTGAATCGGCAGAAAATTAGGTGGAAAATAATACTAGAAGTGAAAACTCTGAAAAATAATAATTTTTTTATTATTTTTGAAAGTTTTCCTTCCTAGTATTCTCTTCCCCTCTTTTTCTCTCATTTTCCCTCTATCCAAACAGAGTCTAACTGTTGTAAACTTGAAAAGCTGCTTACTTGCATCGCTCGATGCGGCACATTGAGTCCTTGCAATTCTTTGAGTGAAGACTCAACACCGTCCATGCCTTCTTACAATGTTGGCAACCCCCACGTGCCTTAACAGTGCACTTATTGGCATGGGAAAACAACTTTTTAATCTGAAGACAGTTTGGGTAAGAGCATGGTTGACTTATTGTTGAGTTACATTGAGATGTGTGCCTTAGAACTTTCAGAAGTTCCTGTATCTGCATAATTAAGTGCATAGGTCAGAAATTGCACATATTCTGACAAGTATAAAGAGAACAAGGATGAAGAGGTGGGAAAACTACATAGTACAGAAGGTTGTTCATGGAATATGTTTTATTTTTCTTCTGGGTTAGCATAGACTACTAATCCAATTGTAATTATAATAAATTTAGTTACGTGAAGGTTTTTCACCTCTCCTCAATATTTATTAAAAATCCAAGCTTTAAACTTGGAATCAAAACTTAATTTGGCAAAGTTGGAGCTTGACTCGAGCATGAGTTAATCAGTAATGTAAGGTATCAGATGATTTGTCATAGGAAAAAGGGCAGTCTAATCAACCAAAAAGCAAAAGAAAAGGGGAAATAAAAGGAAAAAGAAAAAAGACCAAGACCTACCCGGCCATTTCTCTGCTCTAACCGCTGATTCTCTGGCAGACAGTGAGCTGTGGAAGGATATTGTCTTAACTTGTGCTGATGGCAAGCTGCCCCTTTTTCCTCATAGCATGTTGAGCATACGGACAACTGGGGACAAATATCACATTTCCAGCTTAGCTGAGACACATTATCTTTACGGCAAATGCTGCATCTGGAATCAACATTACGCAAAGCAGAACTCTTGAGGTGATAGAGAAGTATCATTGAGGAATGCTTGGCATGACGGAGTGTGTCAAACTGAAGTTGATTCTGTTGGCAGAAACTCAAAAAGTTAATCCTATTCTCAAATAAATCATTGTCCAGTGCGATATCATTCTCCTTAGTATCACAAGGGATGTCATCCACGACAGCCTGAGGGGCAAACAATTCAAAAATGTTAAATTCAATGGAAAGCTATACTGAATGAACCAAAGTTGTCAGCTACTAGTTTAGACAGTAACCTGGCAGAGAGTATGCTTCTCCCCATTAATTGAAGTATGTGTGTCAGAAGTGCGGCATCTGAAATAATGATAAGAAAGGCGTCAATAGTATAGTAGCACTCAATATTAACAAGAACAGCGCAAAGCAACAAAGTCTAGAAAACAAGACAACCAATGATCGAGCAAGTGGGGAAAACAGAAATTTAATTTAAATATTTGTTATAAATTTTGTTGTTTTTATTAAAATTTGAAAATTTACAAATAGCTTTTGGAAGAGCAGGAAATGCCAAATCTTTCTCAACGCTTCGGATTGGATAAAGTTACAATTGAGACATATGCAACTTTAAAAAATGGAAAATGAAGAAAAGAAACTCTGGCCATGTTGGTTAGGAACTCAATCTTTCTTAAAGCACCAGATCAATGTTTAGGTTATAAAAGAACTGAATTGTTAAGTTCACAGAACAAAGGATCTTAGTAATAGAAGTAATACCTAAAAACATCATTAAACAAAATAATAGAAAACAACCAATCATGTCCTCTAAAACAATGTCAGGTTCTGATAATTCGAAGCAAAGCAAGAAAAACCACATGCATTAGCATAAACAAAATAAGAGGAGGGAGGAGAGGAGGAAATGAAAGAATTATGTAAGTTCTTTTCCATGGCTACCTTTCACACTGCTGGTATTTCCTACACTCAGCGCAAAACCATCGCTTTCCAGACAATATGGCCTTATGACAAAGCGTGCAAGTATACTGCAATTGGACTATGATGAAATCTTCCTTGACGGGTAATATAGTTTGGCCCAACTAACAGAAGGAAAATGAAGATATCAGATTATGATATTAGATCATGAACTATTGAACAACTCGATATTTAATGATTTTGGACTTTTTGCTGGCCAACATGCTGATATTTTTTCTACCAACCATGATATGATAATTTATAAACAAGACACGTGAACAAAAATATTCCTTTGATAAAGTTCAAATAAGTTATATAGTTCTAGATTTGTGATTGCATCCAGAAGCGAATACATTTCTCTTTTGCAGCCATGACACCTAATGTGCTTTCTTGTCTCGTTTTATTCAGTGTCTCGTATCCAACATTAAACCACAAAAAACATATTCAGCTTTACAAGTCCAAGAATTCAAAACTTATCTCCCGTGTATTGCAGTAAATTCCTTTCATCTAGGTCCCTATGCCTCAATAAACAAAATTGACATTGACTGTTCTAGTTCTTAAAAATGATGCGAGACTTTGGTTCCAATAAACTCACAAGACCATATTATGGTCAAAGACCTAAATCTTAAAATCACTTTAGAGTCCCATTTGAAACGTGTTTGAATTCATCTAGTTGCTTGACTAATTTAAATGTTAAAAGCCAACTATTGGCAGTCGTATAAGACAACCTACTATGCAGACTAATATGGTGGGAGACAAGAAAGACTTACTTTATGCATCACCAGAATGTCTTTGGCGGTGTCTTTTGAAGGGTCTGTATGTCCCATTGACTTTAGAGCTCTTTTGGTCAATACTTGTTTCAACTTTTTGTCATACTCTCCTTTACTCTCCTGTTCAATTTTCTTGATTTCATTCATAACAGCACCAGACCAGTAGTCTCCATCAAAGTATGGCAAACGAGCAGCTGTCACCTTGGAGTTGCATTTTTCAGCAGAAACAAAGAATTGATCATAGATATTGGTCAAACCAACTACAATGTCTTCTTTAGTGGCCTTTCTTAACATTGAATGATACCTGCACAAATGGAACAGGCCTAGTAAATACCCAATAATCATGAGCAGCAAGGATCACAATCGAACAAAACACACATCCATAAAGATTGAGAAAGAAAGAAATACCAGCGTCTTAGTTTATCACTCTTTGGAGTTTTCTGGCTCTGAGGATGGCAATATAGCACATAATCTTCCCCTTTTAAAGGAGGACAAGCCCAAATGTAACATTTTTCAAAACCTCGTTTTTTGCAAAATTCAAGATATCCAATCTAAAGATAGCAAAATCAAAAAAACAGAATCAATATAAATGCCAAGAAATATAATTAACTTTGAATATAAATTTGAAGAGGATAGATATACTGTCTAACAAAACCTAGGAAAGGAATTTATGATCTACCTACCAATATTTCATGATACACAAATGTACGAAGAGCTTCTCCAGTCACAGTCTCTCTTTGAGGCCTAAAATGCTTGACTGAATCAATATATGAGATGTACACACAACGATGATTTGGGTGACTACATTCTGAGCCAAACTCCTGGACAAAAACAACGTAGATACACACATCTACTCCCTCTATATTCTGGAACAAAAGAATAACCTGCAACAGAAACTGACGTGTTAGTTCTGACCATTATAAACAGAGGGCTAGTCCTGAAGAGGTCGCTGAACAAAATTACTTAGAAATCAACATCTCAACTTACTTTCGATGTATATGGGAACTCTGGAGAGTAACTCTCCTCAGACAGGACGTCAAGAAACTCCTTTTTCACTTTTAATTGCTTTTCAACTGATAGCACCACCCTTACAGTAAGATTTTCCGCTCCAGAAATCTGCAAACCAAATACATACATTGAAAATTAGGAAATAGAGTAGTTAAAAAATGGAGAAAATATAGAACTCGTTTACTACTCTTTCGCTAGTTTGCTTGTTTACTGGAAAAAATAGTGGAACATAACATAATAACAAAATTTCTTATATACATTTTTTCAAATAGATGTTCACAATTGTACTTGTGCTGCAGTTTGCTCCATACCTCTTCAATATTCTTTCCTTCAACTTTTGCCTTGTGCGCTCTCTCATGTTCAAGACACAAAAAGAGTCTTTGCTCTACATGATCACTAAGCTTGGTCCTTGGCAAGTCCTTAGCACCAAAAATAGCAGTCCCTAAGGGTGTACGAATTCCTTCTTCAATTTCTTTTGAGCAGCATTTGGGACACACATACTGAAATTTGCCTTCTGAATTTCTCTTATCGTTGAAGAGAGCACATATCTGATGTTGCCACCTCTGACATTTGTCACATTGGACCCACTAGAGGAGGTAACATATGAAAGGTGAGTTTATCATTCTCTATCCAGTATACACAAAAGAATTATAGGACATAAATAGCTAACTTACCGCTTCTTCAGTAACATAATCGTTTTTCTTACAATCAAGTACTTTCTTGGGAATAGATACCCCATTGAATTGGATAGATTCACCTCGAGAATTTCTGAAACAAGGGGTGCAAAAGCACTGTTCTGTATCAATCTCTTCTGCTCTTCTCTGGTAAAAGTTTGCGTTTCTTTTGATGAGTTTGCCACAAGATAGGCAATAGATTGGCACTGGAGCAAAGAAAAGCTTCTCCATTCCACACAACGCGCATGAGTTATCATCAATTCCAATTTCTTCCTCAAGTATACTCTGTGTCAAAAGATGCATTAGATGTTAAAAAGTATAAGGAAAAGGATTCATATGCCTCTAGTTAACAACCTAAACTGTTGAATTGTAGTCTTTGACACGACATCAAGGTCTCTATAACTAAATAGAGAAAGTATGATCCTTGCAAATTTCTATTCTCTTGGAATTTAAGTGAAGTTACATTTCAGCATAGGGTATGTGAATTTGTGCTTTGTTAACACTTAAAAATCTCAGATGGCTTGTCTGAGAAGGTATGTTAGAAACTATGATAAAAACTATTCACAAGCCTTCACATAACAGCTTAAGCTTTTAAATTGAAATGGTTGTTTATGTTATATATATAGAAAGAGTTACAACATATAAGGACAACAGAGTGAATGCAAAGATCAAGGTGCAGTAAGCTGTCATTGAAACTAACCTACCAGGTTTTAACACAGGAGATCAACTGGCCTTCCCTTCATACAAGGCAGTCACAAAAATGAGGAATTCTCACATGAAATCGGCATCAATTTAGTAAAATACAAAATGTAACCTTAACATAGAAGAAATTAGTTAAAGGAACAATAAATACATGAATCAGAAGGTAGAGTTGATCAAAACACATGCAATCCTTATGAAGGTTAATCACATCCAAGGATCAGAGAAAGTTGCATGAAAGAACATCAAATTAAAGAAATTAAAATCTTTAATATATTCCCATATATATATATATATATATATAGGGATAGAAAGAGAGAGGATATTATGAAGGTAATGGCGATTGCTAAAATGGTTTACTGACCTGACCAAAACCCTGCCTTAGACTCATAATGTGTTCCTTTATTTGATCATATGTGAAAGTTTCAGTCAAGGAAACACTGCTTAAAGTTGGTTTTGAAGACTTTTCTCCATTCTCCAAATCATATTTTGGCTCAGTAATTCCATTTGCATTGTTTTTAACAGACTGGTTGAACTCATTTTGGCACCAAAAATCATCTACATCGGCAATAGGATCTTTCTGGAGAGTGCGCTCACTTGAATTTGACTTGCCAACATCACTTGGTGCATTACTGACTGTCAACTTCACATCATCAATGTTGAGGTATGAGTCCTCCAATGTGTTACCACCTTCTATGCCTTCAGAGGTAGTCCCACTCTTGTAAGTTTTTTCAAGTACATCATAGGAAACACCACTTATTACTGGATTTGCCTTTGAAGACACTGTTCCCTGCTCTAAATGAGCTTTTGGCTCAATAACTTCTTCTGTAGTTTTCTTCCCAGCCTGGTCAAACCCAACTCTTCCCTGTACACCCTCCATATCAGCACAAGAATCTTTTTGGAAAGCTTGGACACTGAGACTTGATCCTCTAACAGTATCCATTGAGCTTCTGGCTATCAGACCATTGCTTTCAAGGTATGACTTCTCCAATACACCATCAACTTCTGGACCTTGAGAAAGAGTCTCATTATCAAAGTTTTGTCCAAATACACCACCTGAAACAGTCATTATTTTTTGATTTGAAAACTCCATTGCCTTTTCCAGATCAGCTTTTGGCCCAATAACTTCTTTTGTAGTTTTCTTCCCAGCCTGGTCAAAGCCACCTCTTTCCTGTACACCGCCTATATCAACACTAGGATCTTTCTTGAAAGTATGTTTACTTGAATTTGAATTTGATCCACTATCATTTTCCCCAATGTTTCTGGCTACCTCATCATTGCTTTTGGGATATGAATCCCGTAATTTATGACTAGCTTCTCTTGATTCAAAAAGAATAGCTTCTATGCCAATCACATTGTTGTCTGTCATGCTAAAATTTGCAGAATCTTGTTTTGCATTCGTGGATGATTCCATATTGTTGTCCGTAACTTTGGAATAGATAGGAAAGAAAGATTCTGGTTGTTGCGGCATTTTTGGAAGCCTTTCAGGAGAATTGTTTAGAACCATCTGAGAATCCCATAGTTTATAAATATCACTATTGCTCACGGAAACATCAAAAGTAGCTTCTATTTTCAATCTTTTGGAAGGTGGTGAAATGCCTTCCAAGTTGTCATGACCTCTCACAGTGGAATCCATCGTCATGATGTTTGAAGAGTCTGAACTACGATAATCATCACTTCTACATTCATCAAAATGTCTTAGAGCTACCCCTGCAGCTCTATTAGAACCATAAAGGCATGCTGAACTTGCTGAAAAAAATTGTTGACCTACATTCATAGGTGTTGAAGGAAGCTGAGATTGATTCAGTATTTTCTGCCCCTGCAGTTGGCTGCAAGGTTCATGTTTACTTGCAAAGCAGGGTCTTGACTTGGCAATATATGCATTAGCACCCTGCTCATATGACGACTCAAAATGTTGGAAGTTTTGTTGACTATGCAAATTCTGGGGCTGATACTGCATTAAGTTATTGACGCTTGAATACTGACAGCAAGGGTTCTGGACGGTAAAATTACTGAAAGCTTGAGAAGCTTCCGTTCTCACAAATGGAGAGATCATTAAATTTCCATGCATAGACAGTGGGGATTCTCTCATTGTAATGACAAAAGGTGAAGATTGATTTCCATCGTACTTGCTCCAATCCTTCTCCACTGCCATAGTAGTAATTCAAATGAGCAAACATGATTAAAAATAGGAAGATTTCATGCCAAAAAATGAAGAAGTTTGGGAAAAAAAAAGGGAAATAAAAAGTAACCATAATACAACGATCAATAGTTAGAAAGAAATCGTGTTAAGATTATTTAAGATACCATGATCTCTCTGTTGATGCTGTAAATGGGAGAAAATAGATTTGAAGCTCGAATTGAGACTGCTTGTTCCACCAGGAGCATTAGAGTTAGAAAACCCATCTGGATCAACGGATCTCAGAAATGATGAAAAGTCATTATAAGGAAAAGTTCTCTCATTGCCAACAGAAGCATGAGACTGCCTCCCATTGGAAAATTCATATTTATTAGTATTGTCCACATTGGCCTTGCTAAAATCAGTGAAATTTATGTCACTAGCAGCAAGCATCTGCAAAACTGGGTCTGCTTGATTTCTGTTATACCAAGCATGTGATAACTCAGAAGAGGGACCCTTCATAGGTGTGGAAGTATTGTAACTGTTTACTTGCGGACTGAATATTGTCCCTTGGAGTTGGTTCTGCATTCGTTGGGCCAAGGTCTCCTGATTCTTATACTCATCCTACAAAATAATTTTAAAAAAAATGTCATTAAATGGCCAGAGGTTCTTTATCTAAAATTAAAAGCCTCAGTCACATACAGCATAATTATTAAGCAGACAAACCTCTGAAGCAGCATGATTAAACAGTTCTCTTTCCACAATCGTTGTAATGCTGTGTACCTTCTGCTGTGCCTCATAAGGAAGACTTGTGGAACTGAGAATAGCAGAACTGGAATAGAATTTAATTTATTAGTTTCAACTCAATCTTATACAAAATTACATGCTTCCAGCTATATTTTAGCATGTCTCTTCCTAAATTTTGGAAAATAATACAAATGCATGCTGATGAGAAAACTAAAATTACTTACATATTCCTTTTTATTAAATTTCGCAAATTGTTGATTCCCGCTCTTTTGTGCCAGTCAGTGGAATGGCCAGGATTTCTTAAATATAGATTGTAATCTGAGGCACGCATCTTCTATGAATCAGCAGAAACCAGGAGATGGCCGCCCTGCAAAAGGAAATTATTATCATCACAGGTTGGTATAGCCATCACAAATGCTTAAAAACTTTTAATTACAACTTAACAGACACAAGATTAGATAATCATAAGTTGAAGAGAATTGATTCAGGTTGTATTCATATTAATACCCAGTAAAACCAACTAAACAGCATCTACCATTCTCAGGTGTCTTGACCTTAGACCATCTTCCTTCTAGTAACAGATTTATAAGTACAGGGTAGCAGTTGATCAATAAGAAGTAACCATTTCTCTGCAGCTCCAAACTCATTTTATGTGACTACTCGAAAGTTCTAAGCATGCAGAAATGACAAAAACACTAAGGCAATTTCTAAATCAGTTTTCACATCTCTGTCTCCTCAAACGAAACCATCACCAAATCCGTCTATAGTAGGATCTATGAGCTCTGTATCTAAACCAGACACGAGCTTTAACAGTGGTCCAAGACAAGATTTTTACTCCAGCATGCGACAGCAGATTCAAAATATATGAAGTCATATTATTATTACCGAACTTTTGAATCACCGAATGAACAATGAATAATAAAAAAGAGCGACCCTTGTTACTGCACATCACTGTAAGGTCACTAAATATGAAACGCCCGTTTCTTTCATCTTATTTCAAAAATGTCAATACGTATAGTAAATGAGCCACTGAAGTGGTCACCGCCTTCATTTTTTTAGTTTACAAATTACAACTACTAACTGTTTGAGATCTAATATTTCAAATGAGAACTTATTTAAGTGTTATTAAATTCCTCAATACTTGACCCAGCCCCACCTGGATTCTTTAAACGCTCTCATCCGCACTACTTGCATGCACTAATACTTAACCCGGTTCAAGTTACAACATTGAATTATTCAAAATATTAATTCAGCATTCTTAATTGTTTTTGGAGCTGCAAAAGCAGACATTCCTTTAAAGTTGAACCCCGTAATTCAAGGGACCCAAAAGAAGGATCCTCTAATTAGGTTTAATTTGTCCTAGTTAGGTCACTGTCACGGAAGTAAAACGGGAAATCACATGGACAAAGAAATGCCATTGAATTAAAATTAGGGTTTGGAATTAGTAAATAGAAACGTTAACAAGAAGGAAGATGGAAACGACTTAAGAAAACTAATACAGAGAAGATGCGGTATAATGCAGGGAAGAGAGAATATGGCTTAAGGAAGGCACCATGATCAAGAAAATTAGGTTGAAAGGATCATAATTAAACCCAAAAATTGCGCAAAGAAAATAGTTGTATTTAATAAAAATGAAAAGAAAAAGCAAAAACATACCTAACAAAGGCAATAATCCCCCTTTTCGTCCACTCTCTGTCACCCTGCCTCTCTCTCTCCCCTCTCTCTCCTCTCGTTCCGTGGTGGACCCGTGGGTTTCTTTGTTAAATGTTAGCGCCCGCAATCTTTGAGAAAACTCCGATTAAAGAATGATATTTATTATTGGCCAATAACTATTTTAAATAAATTTATTAAAACTATAATTTAAATTTATTATATATTATTTTTTTAGATTTACAATTTATTTTTATTTTTATAAATCAATTTATTTTCACATCGTAAAACCCAATTTTATTTACACTACTATCTGTTGAGTTTTTTTTTTAATTGTTTGGACGAAAATAATACGATTAATTTTTCGATTGAAGAAATTTTCATGCTACTAGACTATAAGATCATTGGCAAAATAACGTGACTTTAATCACATCATCTTAATATGAACTACTATAATTATGAAAATTATATATTTATGTTAAAACCAACTTAACTGGTTCAGAATTTTGTAATTCAATTGATACTAAGATACTAAGCATCATTTTTAAGGCTTTCTTAAACGCAAGATTGCAGATTCAAATTCTCGATAAAAGATATGATATGTGTGTGAGTTATGAACAAAATAAACTAACTACGTTAAAATTCAGAAAACACAACATGTTGAATATTATGAATATTAAGAACTACTAGGAAGTACTTTATCATGCTTACTTGTTAGAATAGTTGTGATCGAGGTAAAATCTGGCTGATGTTCCTCAGAGACCAGGTGATGTAAATTCAAAGCACCCTGACAAAACCCTAGAGGAAAAGAGAGAGCCAGAATATAAATTATAAAATAATTTGCTTCTGCCTCGCTCGTATGATGAAGATATAAGATAAAAATGATTTAAAGGATATATGGTATAGGACGATAGGATGATTTTATCGATAAAACTTAAGTTGCTTTACTTATATTTATTATGTGTAATTTTCTAATTAAATATTATCATATGTGATTTTTAGTCTTAAAAATAATGGTTTAAAAAATTTTAAATTTTTATTTATTTGAATTTTTTATTATTAAAAAAATATATGTTATATTTGATTGGAGAATTAGACTTAATAGATAGAAGTAGATGAACCTAAGTTTTATCCTAATTATATGTGATATCTGATTCGATTAAATTCTATTAAGATTTTGAAGAACAGTATTTTAAAATAATAATAATATCTTCTTGAAATCATTATGTGAATACATTTTTTTATTTTTGCAATATTATTACATTTTTAATGGTATTATATTAGCATTATTATACATTTATCTATAACTATAGTTTTTCAAGGAATTTGTATATAAATATTCATATTTTTAAAAGGAATGAATAACCCAAAAATATTTTACAATAGCCGTGCATTTAAAATAGATCAATAATCCAATGAATAATAATAAAATATTTTATTTTATGACTAAGTCAAATTGCTTTTGGCCAAGAAAAAAGAGGTCAAATTTAAATAATAGATAATAACTGAGTAATAATAGATAAATTTATTGAATTAAGAAATATTTCACAAATATCCAATCAAATTCAAAACTCCTTCTACTCATCTAATAACGTCTTCAATTAAAAAAAAAACCAAGACTTGTTATATATATATATATACACACTTTTATAAAAGTCTAATTATGAAAGTTATATGTAGGTCTAATTAATAATCATCTTGATGTTTTATTTTGGACTCTTCCAAAATCTAAATTAACGATGATCCAAATGTGCATGTGGATGTAGTGTGAGTGTCTGTGGAACTTCCGTTTATTCCGTTTGTTAGTGCTCTAACTTTAAACTGACAATTAATAAACAATATCACCGATATTCAATACCGATAATAAATAAGCCATTGAAGGGGTTAGTCTAAAAAAATCACTCACACGCTTCTGCTTATTTTACCAAAAAAAAAAAACTCTTAAAATATCATTAACTCTACCTTAAAATCTAACATCTCACTTTTATCCCTATTTAATATAGTATTTACTTTTCAAAAAACAGCAATCTAAGTGTATGATAAAATAATATATTAATGTTTAAAATTTAATAAAGTGAATTATAATTAAGACAAAAAATATATTTCTTTTTACCTTGTAAATAAAATCAATGGAGTAGAGCTGGACAGGTGGTAATATAGATTGGGCTCGTAGGTTCAACCTACCAACTCAAAAAATAACAAGTTTGAGTTAGCTGTAAGCCTCTTTCAACTCACAGTACCAAGTGTATTAAGTTATCTCACTACCGTACTTTTATTTTTTTAATTTTATTAATTATTATAATTATGTTATTATATGTCACATTTCACTTGAAAAATTGAAAAATATGACTATATCATTTATTCAGTGTTTTCAATAAATTATTTCAAGGAGAATAAGGATTTCATTGTACTTTTTGGTATGTTATATAAAAATTAAAAATAAAAAAAATGTGGCCGGCTGGCTTGGAGCAGGAATGTTTGGTTTGCATCGCCACCGCGCCTCGTAGGTTGCCCGTATTAGCACCCATACAGTTTTATCTCTGTATATTTAAAAATTATTTTCATATCTATCCTTTTTTTAATTAGAATTAAATAAAGATAAAATTTTAAAAAATATTAAATATACAACTAATGACTTATATTTGTGACCAAAACTTTTTCCTACAATTGACTTACATTTAGGATGAAAGTATTCCTTTTGATCCTCATTATAAGTTTCAAATAACTAATTTACAAATTACGAATAATTAGTTAAAATTAGTTAAAAATAATAAGTAGGTTAGAAATAGACTTTTATTTTCAAACATGCCCTTATAATAAATGAGAAAAATTATAAAAGAGAATATGTGGGGAAAATGTGATAAGAGAAATAATAAAAAGTAACATTAAAAAACCTAATTAAATATTAAGACAAATCTAAATTGAAGCTTATAAATAGGACTAGAGTGAGTAGTATGTTCATAAATGATAAATCTATTTTTTTATAAATTTCATTAATCTATTTTTCATTGAATTTAATAATGCTCAAATGTGACCACGTAGCACCGCATATAAATCAACATTAAGTCGTTCCATTCAATTGTTGACCAAACCAAAACAAATTCAATTAAATTTCATTAAAGAGATGATCTCACAAATTAATTAACCACACTTAATATCAGTCTAAAATGAATTTAATTTCTCTCTAATTGATTGCCAAAGCATCCCCTATAAATACTTGGTTCTCGAGAACAGTACTCCACCAGCAAGAAATTTGAAAGAGAAAATGAAGGTGGGAGCTATTCTCACTCTTTTTCTGTTTGTTCTCTCTCTTTCTGGTCATCGCACTCAAGTTCAAGGTATGATTATGATTTTTTTAAATTACTCCTTGAATCTTATTTGCTTCTGTGATCTAATTTATAAATCACTTTTTACATGTTTTATTCAAATTAAAAAAAATCTTAAATCTCGTTTATTATATCTTAAAGTTTAACAAACGTTTAGCTTTATTTTTATTTAATATGTAGTATACATTTCATGAGAACAAAATCTATACGACAATAAATAAATAATAAAATTATACATTCATATAAAAAAATTAATGATGTGATTTATAAATAGTATAAAAAAATTCTCTATCAATACTATAAATAGGACTAGAGGAGCACTCCCTTCAGTTCAAAATATAAAATATATTTTATTAGAGGGTCTTGGTTTTTTTTATAAGATAATATTTACTTTTATCTTAGTATTTAATGAGTTTTTTTTTTAATTTTACCCCTAACATATATTCTTTTTTTTTCTTTGATTCATCTATTGTATCTTTTGCTTATTCTCTTCATTAATAAAGACATATTTCAAAAAATATATATACCTTACACATTTATTATTTTAAACTAATTTTAACCAATTTTTTTAATAAATATATATTTTGAACCAGAAGGAGTATAATGTAGAAAAATATTCTTTATCTTATATATGTCACATCATTAAATATTTAAATTCTAACATACATATA